CCCCGCCCCCGCCCCTTTCTCAGGACTGAGAATCCTCAATCTACGCTCTCATCCCTGGAGCCTCTAGGGACCCATTTCCCTACATCTTCCCTAGTTTTCTAACCTTTGCCGAAACTAGCGTCCTCCATTGTTCATCTTCCTTTTCAAGCGGTTTCCCTCCGTGCTCCTCAGAGCTAAGAGCACCCACAAGTATTCTTAGCCTCATCCTAATCTCCCTAGATTTGAGGAAGGGGAACCAAATCTTACACCTCTTTCTCTGAGTGCTTCCAATACCCACCTCCTCCTGCCTCTCCCTCTGGCCTGAGCCCTGTGTCCCCCCTCCCAGGAGAAGCTGGAGCAGGAGGACCCTTCCAAGTCCCAGAATGAATATGACAGGGCCATCTTCATCAGTGCTTGTGAGCGAGGCTGCCGCCTCTTCTCCATCTGCCGGTTTGTGGCCAGGAGCTCCAAACCCAATGCCACCCAAGCTGAGTGTGAAGCAGGTGAGGGCAGGCTGGGTGGGCCAGGGCAGGGAGAGGTGGCCTGGGAAGACTGCCCTTAGTCAAACCCCCCTGCTCCTGCAGCCTGTGTGGAGGCCTACGTGAAAGAGATGGAGCAGCAGGCCTGCAACGAGGGCTGCTGGAGCCAGAACCCTGAGCTGGAGCCTGAGCCAGAGTCCATGCAGAAGGTGGGCACCCCCCACCTGACACCCTGGATCCCAATTTTCCCAGGACTGAAGGATGACAGAACCTCCTCTGACCCCCCTCCCCCGCCCCCACCCCCTTCTCAGGACAGAATCCTCAGAAAGGAGCAGGAGGACCCTTCCAAGTCCCAGAATGAACATGAGCCCTCTTCTTTCTACACCCTCCCCCTCAATCCACACTCATGCCCAGAGTCTCCTAGGCTCTCTGATCCATTCTGGGCCTACTGGGTATCCTCGATCAAGCATGTCACATCTCAACTCTCAGTTGTCACCTCTGTGACAAGGGAAGTACTGCCTTCCTCCGCCCCCTGCCCCTTGCCACATTGCAGGAAGTAAATAACAGAAAACAGCCATCTTTTATCAAGCATTTGTCCTGGTCCAGGTTTGACCTCAGCCTGTCCCAAATTCCTCGTGCCGCCTAGAGGTACCAGGGATAATGTCATGTCCAAGAAACCCAAGGTCACACAGAGCTGTGCAGACATTGCATCTAAAGCCAGGGCCACCGGGGCTTATAACAATTCCTCAACTAGCTCATCTTCAGTGCTACCAGAGCTCAATTTATCGAGCACCTACTGTATGCCCGATGCTGATCTAATCACTTTCCTTGTGGTGAACAAGTGGCCACTGTCATCTGGGGGGCTCAGAACTGAGGTTCAGGAAGAAGCAATCTTCCAAGCATACATACACTGCCTGCCTTCCCCAACACCCTCGAGAGAAATAATAATTGTTTACCTGTTCATAACTGCTCCCTCATAGTCATGAATAAGTCTAGGCACTGCAGCATCAGAGGAAACTGAGGCAGAGGAAATAATTCACTATAGCCAGAGACCCATGGGCTGGGATTCCACAGAAAGCCCTTTCCCTCCTTCCCCCATTTTCATCCACCCCCTCCAGCCTTTTACGTACATAAAAGCACAAAGCACTACCATTCCTTCCTATTCTGAGTTCTCTCCTGATGCCACTAAAAGAATAACAATGATGATGGCAAATTTTTAAATAATAGTGGCTATTATATATTAGGCACTTATGCTGTGCCATTGCCTAGTTGAAATCTTGTAGCAACCACGTGAGAAAAGAGAATCATTCCCATTCTAGGGCTCAGAGAGGGCAATCCATTTCCCCTAGGGCAACCAGCCAGCTAAATGCAGCAGTGATCCGTGTCTCTCCTATGAAGCCCTATTGCCCCAAACCACTTAGTGAGTTCCAATCACAGTGGACCCACCCAGGTCCCTTCCCGTTGATCAGTGCCCTACCTTAGCCACATTCTGTGCCTTTTGCTTCTCCTCAGCAGAGAAAGGTCCTGGAAGGTCCGAGCAGGGTTCTTTCCCTCCTGGACTTGTTTTCCACCCTCTGCAATGATCTTGTCAACTCAGCCCAGGGCTTCGTCTCCTCCACCTGGACGTACTACCTGCAGACTGACAATGGGAAGGTGGTGGTGTTCCAGGTGAGGGGTCTGGCAGGGGCACGCCAGAGTGGTGGGTGGATGGTCAGGGTAAGAAGGTGGGATACATTCATTTTTAGCTCATGAGCTGCAAGGTCTATAGCTGATGCTTCAGGCATGGCTGGATCCAGGGGTTCAGTGTCTCACTCTATCACTTGATTCTGCTTTCCTTTGTGGTAGCTTTATTCCCAGGCAAGCACTTTACTCCTAATAGCAGGATGGATATTTAAGGCTCTAAATTACAACTTCTCTGGAGTTTTAACTAAGCAGGGATTTACTCTGATTGACCCTGGTTGGGTCATGTGACCACCTCTCAGCCAATCGCCGTGATTCTATTGGCTTGGCTTGGATCATGTTCTTCAGGAGCTGGAGGCTGAGTTCAAGACAAATTGATGCCCTAGATAGTTTTGCTCCAAGGTTAGAGCATTGGTCCACAGACTGAAGGGCCCTGGGTTCAGTTCCTATCAAGGGCATATTTCTCGGTTGCAGGCCTGATTCCCATCCGTGGTCAGGCCTTGTGTGGGAGGCAACCATTGGATGTGTCTCTCTCACATCGATGTTTCTCTCTCTCCCTTCCACTCTCTCTGAAAAACAATGAGAAATATATCCTCAGGTGAGGATTAAAAAAA